TGAATCGAGACAAAAAAAAACCAATGAAACTAGCACATGCGCGATATCGAAATGTTTCAATAATCGATGTATCACCGTTCACTGTCCGTTCAGTTGTACGTACACTTTCGACCAGTTAGCATCATTACACGCGACATGGTCGCCCTCGCAAATCCGCCGACCAGTTCATGGGACGAAGACTTGATGTATAGTGTCCAGATAAATCGTTTGTTGCTGAAATCAATCGGACTCTGGCCAATCTCTCTGTGCGTAACCACGACAGAAAAGATCAGTTCGATCATGCTCACGTTGATCAGTTCCTTCCTGATAAGTTTCCTCTTAGTGCCTTGCGCTCTGTGCACCATTCTCGACAAAACAGGCGACCTCGACACCAAAATCAAAATGATCGGCCCGCTCAGTTTCTGCGTGATGGCGGCGATCAAGTATTACATTCTAGTCTCTCGCGGTGCCAAGATTGGCAAATGCGTCGAGGACATTGGCGCTGACTGGTATCGCGCTCACTCACAGCAGCTTGGAGAGGACAGAAGGATCATGAGAGAGAACGCAAGGATAGGGAGATCCTTGGCAACCTTCTGCGCTGGTTTCATGTATTCCGGTGGCTTTTTCTACACCACCGTGATGCCGCTGTGCAGCAAACACACGGAGATTATCGACAACGAGACGGTGAGGTCACAGGCGTTCCCCATTTACCGCGGCCTCCTCGATCCACGAACCAGCCCTTCGTTCGAGATCGTGCAATTGATGCAATGCTTGTCCGGATTTGTGATCTACTCGGTGACCGTCGGTGCATGTAGCCTGACGGCTGTGTTCGTCATGCACGTCTGCGGACAATTCGGGATACTCGTGACAAGAATTCAGAGGCTGGTCGATGGCCTAGAAAGAGACAAGGATCTGGACTCTGGCAAAGAACGATTAGGTGACATTGTGGAGCATCACCTATATATACTAGGGTAAAGAGTATTTAGACGATCGTACGAATTACGTACGGCTTAAGCAAATGTATAATTGCAAACAATTTTCAGTTTTATATCCCAGATCGAGGAGCTTCTTAACGAGATATGTTTCGTTGAAGTCGTCGGCTGTACGATGAATATTTGTTTCCTCGGATATTACTTGCTCACGGTAAAGAAACTCGCGCTAAGAGACGTTCTAATACGCCAGAATTCCATCTGTCACATGTCGTTGTCAGTTTTCTAGGAATGGGAGCAAAGTGAGACCATAGGGACTCTAACCTATTGCACGTTGCTCATATCTTTCACGTTCAACATCTTCATCCTGTGTTACATCGGTGAAATTTTATCCGAACAGGTATTTTGCTTAT